AGTGATCACGCTGGGTTTAGTGAAAATTGGTGCGGTTCAACAAACGACTGGCTCCAGGGACTGAGTTATTCGTTCAGATTTAGCCTCCGGTATGGAGACAGTTGAACATTAGTTAACAAACCAATCGATAGATCGATCGATTGGTTACTCAGTTAAGTAATCAACCGCTCGGTGGATCAATCTATCAGTCAGTCGGCCGGTCAGTCAACCCCCAATCAACCAGTCATCCATTTATTCTAATAAATGAATCACCCAAACTCTGTTCTGGTACAATTACTGGTCCATTCCAGAATTTGTTCCAGTTGGAGAAAAACGAATAAAGGTGTAACTAACAATTGCACAGCCTAATCATAAGCATTAGTACCCGAACAAAAAACGCGCAGGTTATCTTGTATAAATTCGCTACACAGCTGTCTTAAAAACGTTCATGGCATATCGGTGCTGATTTATGTTTAGGCGGATTCCCCTAAGTAACACCCAAGATGAAGCAATCTTTTGCACTATGAGGCTTGTGCCTCTCAAACGCTGAACTAGTTCACAAATCTGCTAAGGTCCTAACTTTTGGTACAGCTAGTCACAAGGTCCATCTTACGAAAGAGGGAGTGAAGATAAACGAAAGCTCCCATACTGCGCGCATTCGCCATCATGTCATCCTATCGATTTTTGACGCAAAAGGCCTATTGTGATCGTGGAAATTCCAAATTTCATAGTTTATAGGCACTGGCATACAGTCTGTCCGCAAATTCTCTATGCTCAACACAGGAATTTAAGGGTCCAGTCACAATATAACCAGAAGGTGTTTTAACTGCATACTATCTACGCCAGGACCTTTGAGCATTTTCCTTCAACGAACTTGAAGAAATTGTGATGTTCTCGGTGGAGTACAAGTAGATCATAAGGTTGACGGAAACTCGGGGACTACGCCTACCTGATGAGCCCCAAGAAGGGCAAAACCTGTCGTGGGCTGTCGAAGAGTTTTCAGCAACCTTGTGAGTAGTTTCCTTTATGAAAATTGCGATGTTCCTAAGGGGGCTACGTCTGTAGCCTGAACAGCCTGAACCACGACCTCCTCAGCTTTTTGTGCCGACTAGGCAGTTGGATAGCTTAAAACGGGTCTTATTATCCATCATCTTTTTTCCATGATGCAGCGAATTCGGCGAGGTCTCAATATAAAGGACACAGTCCGGTTTCCAGTACACTGGGAGTTTCGAGCGCGGGATTCGTCTTGGAACAACACAAATTTTCACTGAATAGTCCGAATCTTCTGGACATCACTGGTTGAAGATGTTTTAACTAGAGTGACTTCCGATAAAGCAGGTTAGCAGACGTTAGTCATGTTGATGAAGCCCTTTCTGTAGAAGCATTAGCATACTCTTAGCATGCTCTAGGCGAGAGAACGGCTAGCTAGACAGTTGGCGGCGATAATGGATAATATATTTGTTCATAGCCACACTACTCTCGTTTGAACGGCCGTGTTCCTGTTCTGGCGTAGTTATTCCGGTGAGTCCACACCAAAGGGAAGCACTGGACTCGAGTTTCGCTCTTATTAGAGCTCATCAGCAGTGCATATCCAATGGCCGTGCCGGGATTTGAACCCCGGACATCTGACATGCGAGGCGAGCGTGTAACCATTACTCCACCTACGCACGTTGGACGCATCACAAACTTGACCTATGACCTATGAAACAATGAAGGACCCTACCTTCATATCCTTATCAAAGTTCCTCAAGAGTGCTAGGAGTTGGTCGTGCTTTCTTCTTTCTGTTAATAAAGGAATTCCTTCCTGTAACTTTGGCCTTGCGCATACCCGATAGGACTTCAACGTTAGAACAACAACCTATCTTACAAAACATAGGAAAAATGGATGCGTCTTACTCCTTGGGAAACAGATGATAAAATAAACCTGTTTCATCAAAGTTTTGTAGATATAATCTCATGTATTCCAATTAATCGCGTGACATTTATTTTCCTTCTCCCTCTCTTTATGCCTTAGAATATTGATTTAATGGTATTTTGAGTACTGAATTAAAGCACTGATTAGTGTCGCAATATGCATCGTGTTACAGCGAATAGTGGAATTTGTGACTAACAGAGAGATACTGCCACGAAAACGTTCAGCGAACCCTGTGCTTATTTATGTAAAAACCGATTTGGGTAAGAGTGAACTGATGTCGAGGAATCGGCTGAAAATTATGTATGCCATGGATATTCAGTTTACGAATGCCTGAGTATGATAAACCGGTCAAGTTATAACGTAGGTACATTGCAATGAGTTGCCCCAAAAATTCCGATGGAGAAAACCCTTGCGCGTGAGTTTTAGAAATTTCAGTTCGCCTGTGGATCCAGTCCCTTAGAAATCAGTGCAACGATCAGTGCAACAAAAATCGAGGGTGGAATTCTTTTACTACGGAAAATATTCGCCCTAGGAAACACGCTAACTTAGGCAAAACAAGAGGTAATAGGATGAAATAAAAAGAAAGGCTCATGTTTTATCTGTCTGTCATAGTTGCTGTGTTGTGACATAATTCGCCCCCCCCCCCCTCAAGCGAATAGTTTTTATGTGTTAGCCGGGAATCATGTGTTGACCTTCACTGAGGTACGAATCGCTAGTTGTGGCTGCTTTGGTATTTGTGCTGAAACCAAACAATTCCAATGATCGTCTATATCCCAGGATCTTCAAGAATTAGGTAACCCGTTTCGAGCATTTCGTAACACCGTTTGCCTTCCTTAAAATGTTGTTCACTTTACTTTCTATTTCAATCACCTGTGGGTTTTCCATTGTGTCCTCAATTATACCGAGGTATACAGTTCGTCCAACTTGAGGAAAAGAGTTTCGATCACAGCAACCAAGCGCATCGGTGTGTTTTCCACGACAGGATTTGGACTGTACTACTGAGTCTTTACTTCATCTGCTATGATCTCCTTTCCTGTTTGCTCTGGCTTCCATCTCTGGATAGCCCACAATGAATAGGAACAATCAATACCACAACCATAATACTACAACAATAATACAACAATACTATCACCCCTACAACAATCAATTTTGAAGAGTATGATCATCAACGTAAAAACTAAATCCCGGCAATAAATGTGGAATGGTGTACAGGAGAACAGCATATAACACGAGAGCAGCATTTCATTCAAAGGTGTGACATTAGTAGTTTCCAGAATAATAATGCAGTTGACTGAAATCAACACGAACTTACTGGTTAACGGTGACCAAGCCACTGGACGCTTACGCCCACTTAACAAAATCCAGTCGGTTAATGCGTGTTACACTTTATGAAGAACGCGGTACACAAGCAACTGCAACTGAGCTCGAGATGGCTCAGTGGTTGAGGTTCGGTTTGTGGTTCGAGCCCAACCCCCACATCCCAACTGCTTCTGTCCGGACTTGGACAATCTGGTAGTGTTCCTCTCGTGCTTCCTTCGGGTGGCATAAGAGCTGTGCATTGAAAGGGCGTTACAGCTGAAAGCTGCAAGCAGATGATAAGTTGGAGGTCAAGTTAGCCGAATGGAGCCTTAAAAGCCACCAAATCTCACCTGGTGACTCCGAAATCAGCACTGGAGCTAGGTTAGCAACTGCGTTGTTGGAGGAACCATACTGTATTTCCCCAAATAATACCTTGTCAAACGCTACCGACGAAGATTTGTAACAAAAAATTACTACACGTTGAAGAGTTTGCACCCTGGAAAGATACATTTTATGTAGAATCCCAACGAAAAACATGGACAGCGCTTCAGTTCATTTGTTCGAGACGAACGTTTTTAATGCTTGGTTTCCTCAGAAAATCATTTGTAACATTATGCGAGAGGGTACACTTCAAATGCGTTCATCAAAGTAACCATACTCTGAACTATGTTAGGTGGTTTGTAGTGACTCGACGTCTGCACTTGATGTGCTCACAACGTCTATAAATGGTGGCCAACGTGTGGATCAGTTGGAAACTGAGAACAAGTATGGGGTCGGATACTGAAAACCACAAGCATTCTCCATCTTACAGTGACAATAATTGGGCGGGGTTTGAAAAAAATCGATCACTGGCTAACAGGCTCAAGCCTTTGTGCATTAGACCACGGTTTGATGACCTCTTTCAACTGGGACTGAGTGTCTGAAACATCACTTTACGGTAGGTAGGACTGTGATCTGTTAACCGTTCTTTGGGAGACCCCAAGTAGATATATACTGCTTCAGTAGAGCGCATCGGATAGCCACTCAGGTCTATTGTTGGTCCCTTGTTTTGTTTGAGGTAGGGCCCTGCCCAGGTCATAGAAAAACTATAATCACGAACAGCAGTCTGTAGTTCATGTGTGAATCCATCACAAGTGGATCCTAACGACTGTCTCACATATGAGAATTTTCTTTACTTTTAGAGCTCTACGTAAACACCTGTTTCGTTTGCATGCATTTATCATCTCTGGTTATCAGCTCCCTTTCTAAATGCACCTGCGCCCATAAAGAAAAAGAAATGGTCCGTACTCTCAGTAAGGTTTTTTCCGGAATGAAGAACGGCGCCTTTGTACCGTATGGTGAATGTTTCTTTCCCAATGGTCACGAAAGTTCTACTCCCATTTTGCGATTATTGTTGCTGACCCTGCGGGTGTCGATCAAACGATCCTATCCTGTCAAATAATCATCCATCTATGCACTTTCCACGATCCAGTTAGCTCGCGATCCCAGTTGGCTCTCTCCGCGGGCTGAAAGCTGAGTTGATCCGGCTTTGAAGTAATCGCTCAGTGAGTCCCACCTGACACGAGACGGTCTTGTGCATTCACCAGGGGTCTGACCTCTTTTAGCGTTGACCTCCCCCGATGACGGTCCTGCCAGCAGAGCTGGTTGACCCTGTAAGTTTTCTCTTGGCTTATGAGATGCAAACACTAATATCGTATCGTTGAAAAGGTACTTCCTCCTTGCTGCGACTAATTAGACTATACTTATACACAAATAAATATCCTCAATGAGACTATCTTTAGCTCGGAATGTCCCTGTTTTGACTTACCGTTTTGCAATTGAATCCATTATTTTAAGGTTCAGCACAACTGATGACAGTAGAAGTAGTGAGATCAGTTTCGACAGAGCTTCGACATGAATTGATGTAGATTTCGAACTCTTTTGACGTATATCTCAAACGGGAGAAACTGTGACAACGAGACTATCGGAGACAGACACAGGAGTTTTTGGAATCCGAAAGACACCCATCCTTCTTAGTCATCGGGCGCAGATGGGGATTTTTCTTTTGTCAGTTCTGTCGAAAAAAAACAGTGCAGATAGTTTCCGAGGGCCCGACAGACGCCCTAAGTTGCTGCTTTAGTTATCTCTGAAATTTCTTATTCACAGGCAGACAACAAAGGGTCGATAAGACTGTTTCAGTGTCGGTCACTTTCTTGTTTGGTACACACCCACACTAGGATACATGAAGTGTGGTGCGCGCTTGCACGATGGGTTGATGCGCAATCATCCCATTCTCCATACTTGGTCATTGCATCGTGGCCAATGATGATTCAGTGTTGTGGGGCACATGTCCCCAGCGTGTGCGCTAACTTGTGTGTGTGTGTATGTGTGTGTGCACTGATCTGTGTGCAGCCTTTGTGGGCACGTGGCTATACCGTCCACCACATGGTCGATCAGTTTTTAGGTGTTGCTGGAAAGACTATTCCAATTGCAACACATTAAAACCGAGTCATGCCATCTTTGTTTAGATTTGTCTGCTTCCGTGAATGACTTAATTTTTCGTTTGTATTGTGTACTTGGCCGCTGTGTGTGATACAAAATGCACGATCACAAATCTGGCACTCAAAAGAGCGCCAGCGAAAGTCTGGTTGTCGCAGTTAAGGTTTGTTATGTCCGGAGGTTACAGGAAAAGCACCTACAGCGAATCCTGGTGTGTGTCAAGTTAAGTCCTCGAGTTTGAATTTGAATTCCCGAGTTTTGTTTCCTCTCTGGGTGGACTAATTGAAGAAACTAGTGAGTTATGTTCACCTTCGAAATGTGATCTCCTATTGGTATCGAATGCGACTGACCAAATGAAGTAGGTTCGCTTGGAAGTAGCGTATCGCGTGACATCAGTAGGGAACAACTGTAATGTTGAATTCATCGCCATTCGTTTCCTTCAAGAACCGCAAGAATGTATCGTAAGAGAGAGAAAACTTGGGAAGTGCCTTGTCTAATTGGTGTCGGCCTACTCTAATTTGGAGTTCACTCCCCACTGCCAGTCAACTTAAACTGGAATGCCAGCAGACTTCGCGGCGAGAGATCACATGCATATATAGTAAGAGATCTGAATCCACTATCTTCGGGGTCGGAGTTCAAGAAATTAACTTCCGGCTACAGGTGGCTGATCGATAGGTGGTTGACTTGTCGATAGACCTGTTCCCAGTATCACGTGATTAGCCGCATGAGGCAGGTACAAGAAACGGTGTGAATTAGCCTGCGTTACACATGCTGTGTCGCCTTGAAGTAATCCGTTCAAAATGCGTTTTTCTGAGGGTGGATAGGCAGTGTGTTATGTATTACGCATTTTGTGCAACATGAAGCCAATTCCTAATGGTCCTTGCGTACTTACCTCACACTATGGCTCGCCGGAGCAAAATTGAGTGAAGTGTCATAAGAACTGGCCTGCATTTACAGATCTCTTCCATCACATAACTTAAGACCCTTAGGTTATACATGATTCCATCCGAAACAAGAACGTCATAGAACACAGGAAATGCGGCGGTGTACAACCTCAGATGAGTATCAAACAGCATCCTTTGAGTAGACTAAACGCCGGCTAACAACAGGTAAGATAACATGCGGGAAGCGACGACTTCCAATGAGTAACGCGGCCGAAGAGATTTAGTTGAAACGCTGACTGCTATTTAAAAATTTTTTTGTCATTTCGTTGGTGAGTTATGTTCACCAACGTTGTAGCTCTAGAGATCAGTTGATCGAAACCTCTTTTGAACCAGTACAGAAATGGAGTGTGGCTCGTCTGTAAGCACCTCTAGCCTTACGAAACCCTTGTTATCAGACCAAGCTATTCATTGACTGGCAACATAATGCAATAGCGTTTTGTCTCTCTCTAGTGTTTTAATTCGTTAACTCTACTGTGATTGTTCACTCCCCAGGCTCAACATGAAAGAACTCAGATGATACCATGCCTTTTCGTGGACTCACTACGTACCCACCACTGCGGACGAATTCACAAGAGTGCAGCTGGTCAGTTACTGAGACAAATTTGCCTCAAACGAAACAGCAGTTGTGACCTATTTTATGAGCGGAAGTCAGAATTATCTGGATACTCGAAACGCAAGTGTAGATGTTGCGGGTGAACCGCGGAAAAAGCTGCCGCATGCCGAAAATGTGCACTTTTATTCATAACACTTAGATAAAGCTTCAATAGCTGAGTCTGCCATTGACGTTATCGGTCCCTTTTTGTGACTTTACTAGTGGAGTGAATGTTTACTCAGATATCTGAAACATATAATGGAGGAGATATGGGGTTGTAGTTACTTTTAGACATTGACTTAAACGAAATGATGAAATATTTCGGAGGACGGGGGGATCAGAATCTCCTGTCTAGCGGTCACCAGCTAAGCTGTGACAATTTGCATATGTGCAGATTGACTCCACATTTTGCCGGATTGTTTCGTCTTGTGGGAATGAAACATTGTGTGTTCTCAAGTGATTCGAACAAATAGCTTCTTTGACAAGGTGATCCCTTTCTGCCTCTTACAGCTGACTTCTTGTATGGTGCTATTTTAAAATAGATCGCCCAGGGAATGGAAGGCTTACTTCTTCAGTCCCACTGTTGCCATTTCGTCTCCAAAAATATTTGCCGTCGCACACGTTGTCTCTTTTGAATGTTAAGAACATTCTAATCGGTAAAACTTACATATAAAGTAAGCTTTTCTGTGCCGTCCCAAGTCCTATGTTTCTGACCATGGTATTTATCGAACAACCGGGCGCAAATGCCTGAAATTACTCGTAGTAATAAGTACCAGTTTTTGAACACCAAACTCCAGAACAGAAAAACATGACTGATGGGTGACATTTATGCAAGTCCAACTGCAGAGTGATCATTATTCACTTTAAATGTCAGTGCGACATTTCTTCCAAGTCGGTCTCTAAATCTGATAAAATCTCACTGTACTATTATTTCTCGATACAGTTAGGTTTAAAAGATGCAATATGTGCCAGTAAAATAAATTCTTCAATTTGTGGATTTCAAAATGACAGATCAATAGCACCTTATTGATCACCTACACTCCATCACTCACTATTTCAATCTGGCAGCTTCTTCTCACTGTTTGGGGCAAAGGTCGGTTACTGCAATTTGTCGAAACCTTTGCCAGTAAAAGATTAAAATTAGAAGTCTTTACACAGAAAAGCAGTCTCCTCATTAAAATCGCCTTCATGACTGATTTGCTTGCAGTAGGTTCTTTGATTTATTCCATGAGGTGGACGGTTTGGTTGCAACCGTTTCACCACCAGTCAACGTGACATCATCAGTAATTTGTTGGGAAGGGTGGTGGAGAGACCCATCTCCACGTCCCACTACCCCCTTGCCGATTTTACAGGAATCCAAGGATTAGAGTTTGACATGCATGACGTTGTACACGACTAGGGATGTTTCCACCTGATCCTGTCGAAATCTCCCCTCAGTTCTGCGAAGGTAGGGGGTCAAGGATCACACACAAATCATGAATGAATTTGAACCTGACAGTTTTATTGCAGTTATCGAGATACAAAATTCACCCGTTTGCAAACAATTTGTTTCTGACCAGGGACTTACCTGGAACCCGAATGAATCGGTCGTTTATGATGTTTCAAAAGGCAAAATAAGGAGAATAAGATAAAGTGAAGTATCCGTGCTAACCAGTGAAAAATGAGTCTATTGGATCGAGAGGTTAGTTGCGTTTCGAGTTTCATTCATATTTGTGGCTCCCTCATCCACAAACCCAGGGTTTTTTAATAAACGAATCAGCAACAGAGGAATGGCCTACTGCTCGGTTAGTGTAATATGCACGCTATGGAAGCACCAGGGGACAGTGATTCTCCTAAGGCAGGTGTTCACGACAGTTTCTGTGGATGGAAAACAGAAACAAAGCTCATGAGCCAGAGCCCAGTAAGCAAGGTTGTACATCACCAATACTTACATATGAATCAATCAAAATGACAGACAGCGTATACTACAGTTAGCACGAATGGACCAAGGAGACAAGCCAAATAGATCCCCGGCGGGGTGACCGGAGAGGTCAGATCTCAAGGCTAACCCCAGCAACATGAAGGCAGGTCAACGAAGAGGCCAGGGGAAGCGCTGATCCAAATGATCACTGATTGACCTGAGTCAGTAAACCTTATAACAACGCATGCACAAGCACCCACCGCATACTTCCAACATCAGTGCACCGATGACATCAACTCGAATGGTGACGAAACATTTGCAACCAGGTCGCCCAACCTGGCTATCAAACTAACGGCCATCGTGACAAACTGAGGTAATGTATTTGGAAATGTCTCGATTTGATGCTGATGTCTGTTCCTTATCTCTAGAATCTGTGTGATATCTCTCAACCAGATGGGGTAACCTTTTTCTCTTGGTGCATGAAAAAAACTGTTTATTCGAGAGGCAACAGAAGTGTTTGTGCCCGTCTTTGAGACAACAAGAAGAAAAACAGCATGTCTGATCCAATTAAGAGATAGTTTGCGGTCTTCACCCACCCTGACATCTGCTTCGCATTAGCCAGTCTGCACTCAGTGTTTTCGAGAGTGAGGTAAGTCTCCAAGTCTGGTTTTATCTCCCTCTCTCTCTCTCTCTTTTAACTGGATTAACCTCCTCACCTAGTCAAAGGGAACACGTTCGAATTTGTACGATACATCCAATGCAAGTTTGACATCTACTTCTTCCGTACCAGCTTAAAATTCTGTGTATTAGAATGTATACTTAAATTCGGACATCGAAAACATCACATTTCCAAATCCAAAGGAAAAACAAATGACAGATTATGTAGAGCATTGTAACTCTGGTGAGGTTTGAAGAATTCCCGTGAGCTTGGAGTGGATAGATTTAAGCGAATTCAGAGTGATCTATAAGACCTGGGGGAAGTATAATTTCATTGTATCTCCCAGTATATTCGACTTCATTATATTAGCATGCTAAGTTGGCAAGTTCTAGTGACTTCAGTTCATCCGATCCTCTTTTTTCCACAAATCACTAATTTAGTCCACCGACTTTGGCAATTAGTTGGGGAATGGACGCCCATCAAAGGCGATATAGCTTCCCCTTGTTTATTGGGGTGATGGTGAGTTTTTCAGTTTTTAGAA